AGACAGCAAATAGATGTTTTCCATTTTTAGGGAGGTTGGAGTAAGAGCACTTAACTGGAGAATGTGTAACTCATTGCCAGCGTAGATGGTCCACCTCTGACTTTATTTAAAGAAATGCATAAAGTGCTTTGCTCCTGGGGTTGCCTGGGATAGGGCAGTGCTTGCCAAATGTCTGGTGCTCTGTCAGCTCCAACTGCCCAGCCTCAGAGTGCCTGATCTCCTCCCACTAACCCCGCGCTTTACAATTTACAGATCATATTTTTACCATGTCTTTTTTCCATTCTTCTCACTTTTGCTTCATAAAAACCTTCCTTTTACTGTTGAGGAAATCAGCATGCAGGGAGGCTAAGTGTCCTTAGGATACAGTTAACTGGTGTCAGAGAAAGTGCCAAGATCCAGGTGTCTCACATTCCATACTAACTGGTATAAAAAGAATATGAATTGCTAAAGGTATATATTTGCTCAAGGAAGGGGAGAATATTTTCCTTAAGGATTTGAGAAGATCTCTTTTTGAATTTGAAGTTATCCTAGGACGCTCAAACATAGAATCTTATTCTGATTGTTTTTTTACCAACCTCATTCAATCCCTGAGTGCTTGCTTGGTGGCAGGAACTGTGGAATGTAATGGAAAGCAAGACAGGAGTTGTTTCTGCCTTCTCAGGAGCCCTCCTATTCTTCACTTTTTTAACATCTTTTTTTCTTCCATTGATATCCCCCATACAAGTGCCCATACACAGTCCATCCTTAAGCTCCACTCTCAGTCCCCTACCAAGTTCAGATCTTTGTGGTAAGTACTCTACTTGATGACCATTTTAAAAAGGAGAAGCAAGTTCCCTGCAGTGGTTTTCACATCCTCTGAGCCTGTGGCAGTCTAATTCTTATGAAACTCAAGGAACTGGGAAAATTTGTTAATTTATTCTCCTAAAATCTCTATATATTTATAAAAGTAATCTGGTGCCCTGGAGAATTCTTGCATATTCAAACCAAAGGCCTAATTATGTTAATTGAAGCTTCCTAAATTTCAATTCTCTTATCTGTTGAATGAGAACATAATGATATACAGAAAAGCATTTGAAAAGTATGAAGGACCATGTAATAAAGGTATCACCATCATCAGCAACAGAGAAAATAGAATACGATAGAGTGCCAGGTACTAAAGTAAAACATTTGCTATCAAGTGAATGAAACCTCATCTGAAAAAAATCCTAATAAATGGTCACTTTAGCCATATATGTAGAATAACAAAAGAAAAAAAAGTCACAAAAGCAGTAGCTTGTGCTTAAATTTAGCTCCTTTATAAGATACTAGTTTTTGGCTGGACATGGTAGCTCATGCCTATAATTCCAGCACTTTGGGAGGACAGGTGGGAGGACTGCTTGAGCCCAGAAGTTCAAGACCAGCCTGTGCATCATATTATAACAAAACCTCATCTCTACAAAAGAAATTTTGTGTGGCGTATGGTTGCATGTGTCTGTAGTTCCAGCTACTTGGCAGGATCACTTGAGCCCAGTAGTTGGAGCCTACAGTGAAGCATAATTGTGCCACTGCACAGCAGCCAAGGTAACAGAGTGAGACTCTGCCAAAAAAAACCAAAAAAAGTACTAGTTCTCTGAAATGCAAACTACAATTTTATATCAATAAATGAAATACAAAGTTTTTATTTTTGATTATAAGATTAATTTCGGCAGGATAGACAAGAGTTCCAAAAACACCTCAAATACTGATGGAGATGTAATTTAGTGCAACACTTGGGGGGCAACCAATGCATTTCAAGAGCCTTTTAAACCTATGCATGCACATCCATTCCACTTCCAAGAATTCATACTGGGGAAATAAGGGTGTAAATAAAAAGGTAGCAGATAGCCATAAAGATGCCATCATGTTGTCATTTAAAATATTAATAGTATAGCATAGTGGTTAAAATTATGGCATCTCGAATCACTAAGTTGCTAAATTCAAATATTGGCTTTGTTACTTGTCACCGAGATAGTGGTCATATCAAATTTTTAATTTCGACGTTTGTAAAATAAGGGTGACAACAGAACCCATTTCACGAAGTTGCTGTATATACATACCAAAATACCTCTGAGGCACTCAAACAGGACATCTTGAAAGCGCTCACAATGTTAGGCTGTATTCATCATAATAAAAAGTTAGATATAATCTATTTAATAAAACTGCTTCATTCAAGCAATATAATACTGTATGTGTTAGTCCATTCAGGCTGCTATAACAAAATATCAGACTGAGTAATTTATGAACAACAGAAATGTACTGCTCACATTTCTGGAGGCAGTTAAGTACAAGATCAAGGCACCAGCATATTCTGTCTGGTGAGGGCATGCTCTTCATAGACAGCACCTGCTGTGTGTCCTCACATGGCTAAAGGGCAAAAGGGTAAACAAGCCCCTTAGGGCACTAATCCCATTTGCAAGGGTTCTTACCTCATGACTTGGTATCTCTCAAAAGCCCTACCTTTTCCACCACATTACGGACTACGTTTTAATACATGAAATTTGGGGGAGACACAGTACCATATATCAATTAAAATGATAGTGTAGATAATATTTGACTTGGAAAGATATTTACTAAAGGGAAAAAGCAGGCTACAAATGTGATTGAATCCAAGTAGATGTTTATTAGGTTATCCAGTGTACCTGAACTTGTTTTGGACTCAGATCCATCTCTCTAAATATTTAGTTGCATCTCAAAATAGTAATAGTCATATAGTATTAATATCAGTTTCTTTACCTTCTTGGGTAAGAGCCGTTGGGAATTTTTCCTACACTAATATGCTTTTGGTATTTATTGTATTGCAAGCTAAATGACTTCTGTTCTAAATAATAAAATAGAAACATTACTTTTGCTAACTGGTAAAGTCATCCATGCCATAACAAAAGTGCCAAGATGGCACCTAATTTAATAATGCTACTAGAGTAATTATACACATAATGTACCACATCAAGAAATACCACAACTATCAGCTTTCAGATGACTGTAACAAATTTTAAAAGCATGAACTGTGATTCTATCTAACAATGTTTATTATGGGATATTCAAAACAGATGTACTTATAATTTACAATAAGTGATGTGGAATTTTAAGAATGACATTTGTCGAATGTAAAACTACTACTAAATGTTAATGCTACCTTGTCCAACTGAAAAGAATCACTTAAAGAGTATAGACTTAGTGTGACTTCCATTTCAATGTTTGAATAGGGTTCTTGATTTGCATTGAAAACAAAAAGAAAACAAAATGCTATACTACCCTTTCACAGTTCATGAATGTCTTCACACCTAAGAGATAGCTACTTGTTACCCAGGTCTTTGCTACTCCAACAATATAAAGCTTTCTTCTTCTAATCTTCACAAAAGCTAACCATTCTGTTTGAAGTAGTATTGTGCTCACATACTTACACTGAATATTACTAGCATGGAAATACTTAAATTCTTTCCTAAGTATTATAAATAAGATCTCTGGCTAGAGATAGCAAAGTCAGAGGCTTGAATGAAACTTCAGCTGAAAAAATCCTAATGAATGCTCACTTTAGCCATACACACAGAATAACTAAAGAAAAAAAAGTCACAAAAGCAGTAGCTTGTGCTTAAATTTATCCTAATTAATGCTCACTTTAGCCATATACACAGAATAACTAAAGGGAAAAAAGTCAGAAAAGCAGCAGCTTGTGCTTAAATTTAGCTCCTTTATAAGATACTGGTTTTTGGCTGGACACGGTAGCTCATGCCTGTAATCCCAGCATTCTGAGAGGACAGGTGGGAGGATTGCTTGAACCCAGGAGTTTGAGATAACATAATGTATTTTTATATATCTATATCTATTTCTTTTCATGATTAACAATTTTATATGCAGGATATATAAATCTCATCCATTTTGATAGCTTGGAACCTCTTTGTTATGAAATTTTACTTCAACTTTGGGCAGCCATCTTTGGAACTAAAAAGGGTGGTGATATGTTTTATAAAAATTCTCTGAACAGAGTCAGAGGATGGTAAGCACAGGAAAAAGATAGCAAATAAAAGTGAATACTCACAATCAGTCACCTCCCAAGCTAAGGGATGTCAGTTATAGTCAGCTGGGTAATGCTGTAACCTGCTAACAGTGCAGTTTTCCTTGGCTTCTGGTAAAGGTAAAGCTGATCTCACCACTTCATGCCCGGGACAGGTAGAAAAAACCCCACAGAGATTAGCATCAGTCTCAAGATCAGATGAATTGACTTCTGGCTACGAAGGGATTTAAACTAGAGTAACAGGTTTAAAAAAAAAAAAAAAAAAACCCTCTTTCTCCCATAGTGAGGCAGGTTGCTTCTGGTTTCAGGCAGGTAAGTTACTTATGTCCACATGATTACTTTCTGGTTGCATTTATGATTACTTGAACAAAATGATAAATACTTTAGTATTATTTCCAGTCTTCAGCCTGATGGAAATCTGCTCAGTTAAACAAAGACTAAAGTTCTAAAAGTCTTTTCTCATGACCTCCTTTCCCCCCTGACTGGTATGTGAAAGACAAAAAATGAGTACTAACTTCTTTAAATCCAAAAATTTGTAATTCCATTGCCACACAAGATAAAGTCCTGGGGTTTAGATTTCAGCTCCGAGAGTCACAATCCCTAAAAAGAATCCACTAAGAAGAAAATGCAAAGAGTTCTTGCTCTAGAAACCTTGCTCATAAACTTCAGATACTTTTAGTTCTCCTTTTTCACTCCTACAGAAATATATTATGGCCCATATTTCATTTCTGGCTCCTAATACCCTCCAAAGGCCATTCTGAAATGCATTCTGCCTTCTCTTTCACATTGATTTTATTAGCTGGCCTAAAAGAGAGTTTTTGCCAAATTAGTTTTAATGTCTTCATTTACTACTCAAATGTACTCATACAACACAGCTCAAAACACAATACTTTTAAAAATTATTAGTTGTTAGATTTTAAAGAGACTAAAGTCAGCTTACTGCTGAAAACACACAAAAAGGACAAATTGATTGAAATTTTCACAAGAATGGAAAATGTTTAATAAACTCAGAATGGTGGGCTTATTAAACTATAGTGTTATTTACAGCCATAATTCATCAACCACAAACACAATAATGTGTTTGCATGGCATGCTACAACAGAAGCTTTATTCAGTTCATTCAGAAAACATTGGCAAAATAAATTTCAGTTGCAAATTCACAGATACAAGCTTTAAAGTATAAAGTTGTATATAACAAAAAATACAGGTAATATTTATAACAATAACTTACAGATACAAACTAATGATAAACTACAATTTCACAAAAGATTGTAAACATTTTGCACACTTGTCAGTCCTTTCTTTTAGGCAAAGTGCTCTTTTGATGGCAAATAAATTAACAGATACACACTAGAGTGAACTATTTCCAGACAATACAAAAAATGTTTTGATTTGTTTTCTTCTTGTAAACATAAGTTTTACAAAAATGAAGAATCAATAAAAGTGTCTTGCAGGCCAACTACAGATACATACCTGGGCAGCAAAGTGATGTTGGAAATGCTTTACGTGTTAAATAAAAAATTAACAGTAATATCTTTTCAATGGTATTTTATACATAAGAAACGACAAATTCATATCCTTAATCAATTCTATCCCTGAAAAAAGAATTAGGTATGACTTATTGGCAGTTGTGTCATTGAATGGGGTAACAAGGGCTGGAGTCCAAGAGTTGTTGGTGAATGAGCTACAAAATAGAAAGAAATTTGTGGATCAGTTTTGTATGGTGAATAAAACTGATTTATAAACAAACAAAAACAATCCAAGGCAATGTTTTCATCACTCATTGTAGCTGAGGGCACCAAGCTACACTCATTCCACTCACCTCAGCTGCAGCATTAACATTCAGCATAGTAAGAGTCCAGGAACAGATTTACCCCAAAATCTTTATTTGGGGCCACAGTATTTTGCCACTTTAATGTCCTCCATCCATACCCCATTCACTGCACTTCACTCTACAGCTAGAAAGGGATGGGTTCAACTTCAGAGATGCTGCTGGCTTTCTCATGAAGGTGTTTGTATAGGACGATCTTCCTCAAGTTTCTTTCATTAATGTTTAATTACCTCCTCCCTAGGCATACATCAAAACACACTGGACTCAGGCAACACTACTGTCTTTCATGTGAACACAATCAATTTTAATACTAGTATAAGTAAATGGCAACAATGGTACAGGCTCTGATTTTTTACTAAACCAAAACTTGGAAGTTTCTGCTTTCAGCAAGGGCTACGTTGCTTCAAACCAAACCTTTCTCTGAGACCATCTAGGAAATCTGGATAAAACTTTAAAAAATCTGTTTGAAGGCATCTGAAAGACACTTAAGTATTGAGGACTTACAAAGTCAAGTCCCAGAATGGAGGGAAAGGAAATAAGGATGCTTTTTCTCCCACAAGGATGATGACAATTTAAAACAAAACAAATGTCTGATAGGCTGAGAAGTTTAGCAGAGCATTCAGAAGTTAGACTTTGGCAGAGTGGTGAGAAAATTCAAGAGCAGGGCCCGCTGAGAAGGAGAAGCCTTAGTTAAAAACGACAAAAGAAAACAAAACAGGGATTCATTTGTGATTCCAAAGGGCTAAATCAAAGGAATAGTAAAACAAAAATATACCAGCCCTCCTGAGGATTGGTGCCTGATTGGATTAAGTTGATTTCGCCTTGTCCTGACTTTCTGGGAGTAAAACTAACCTTCTCTAGCGGAAGGTTATCATTCAAAGTCTCAAATTATTTTTATTTTTCATATTCAACATCTGAAATGCAACAGCAAATAACAAGACAAATAATAAGACATGACTGACTTGAAAGAAAATAGGAAGAAAAAAAATAGACCCACCAAAGATCCATATATTGCAGTTATCAGACATGAGCTTTAGTATCACTATAATTAGTATAACAATTTAAATAAGGATAAAGTGACAAAATGGATGATTTCAGAATATAAACGGAAACCTTAAAACTGAAAAACACAAATAAAATTAAGAACTTATTGGATGATTTTTTTTTACAGGATATTAGATATAGAGAGTATTAGTGAACTAGAAAAATTGTTCAAAAGAAAATGTGAAATTTTTTTCATAGGAACAGAAACAATATTTAAGGAGACAAAAGCTGAGAATTTTCCATAATGAAAGACATCAAACTACATATTCAAAAAGCACACCTAGGCACAGTATGATAAAACTTTTACAAGACAAACACAAAGAGAAAAGTTGAGGAAAAAAGATTTATTTTCAAAGAAGCAAGAAGGTCAATATCTGACTTTACCAATAAATGGGGCCAGGTTAACTAGCTTCCATATGCAAAACAAATAATGAAAATCAGAAGACAAGGTACTTATAACTTCAAAGTGCTGAAAGAAAATAACTAACAACCCAAATTTCTACGTATAGAGAAAATACCACTTACAACTGCATCAAAAGAAATACTTAGAGAAGATGTGCAAGATTAATAAACAGAAAACTCTAAATCATAAGAGATGATTTAAAGATGATCTAAATAAATGCAAAGACATACTAAAGTCCATGGTATGGAATACTGTTTAGATGGCAGTTTCCTAAAATTGATCAATATAGTTGCTGTAATAGACTGTATCAAGATCTTAATTGCTTTTCCTTTTGGGGTGGAAATTGACAAGTAGGTAAATTTTACGAAAATACAAAGGGCCAAGAAATGGGCAATACAAACTTGAATAACAACAAAATAGGAAGAATTGTATTATCAGATATTAAGAATTATAGACCTAGCATGATAAGAATGGTTAGGTAGCAACACAAAAATAAATAGACCAATAAAACAGAAAGTACAAAAATTGACACAAGGGGACACTTGATTTATGGCAAATGTGTCTGTACAGAGAAGCTTGAAATTTTCTATTTTCATCAACATAACAAAAAAGCTTCACTTCCTATCTCATACCACACACAAAATTCAATTCCAAATGAACTGTAAATCTACGCAAAGGTAAAACAAAGTTTCTATATGATATCATAAAAGATATATCTTCATTATCTTTGAGTAGAAACAATTTCTTTCACATGTCACCAAAAAAAGGACTGCTCATGAAGGAAGTATGAAATAAACTACATTAAAATTAGGAACTTGTGCTCAATGAAACACTCCATTAAGAGTAGAAAAAGCGAACCTACTGAGCAGGAGAAAATATTCTAAGCACATATAATTATCAAAAATTATATGCAGATTATGTCAAGAACTAAGGCAGATCAATTTAAATAATAATAAAGACAAGCCAGTAGGTCAATAGACAGAAAGACTTGTACATCTCTTCATAAAAGAGAATATACAAATGCCCGATGAAAAAATTCTCAGTCATCAGGGAAAGGCAAATTAAAATATTATTGCACTACACTATCATCAAATTTGCTAACATTAGGAAGTTATACCATACCAAGTGTTGGTGTACCTTGAACCTTGCTGCTGGTCAAGGTGTAAACTGGTTCAACCACTATGAAATACTGTTTGTCAGAATGACTGAAGTTGAGCATACACGTAGCTCATGACCTCATGTGCCACTCCCAGGTACATATCTAATAGAAATGTGAATTAATGTGCACAAAAGGCATGTACAACAAAGTCCATAGCAGTAAATTCATGAAAGCACAAACTGGAAAAAACACAAATATCTATCAACCAGGAAACAGAAAAACTGTGGTATGTTCCCACAGTGGATTTCTGTATAACAATGAAAACAAATAACTGATTCTCACAATAATATAGGTGAATCTCACAATGTAATTGAAAGAAGTGAGACACATAATACATTCTGTATCGTTCAAAAAAGGGCAAAACTAAAAGATGGTTTTAGAAGTCAGTGCTATGTTACTTTGGGAGAAAAGGACAATAATTAGAAAAAGGCATAAGAGAGGCTTCTGAAATGTTAATTAAGTCTGCTACTTTTTTTGGGCAGTATCTATATGGATACATTCATTTTATTAATTCATCAAGCTGTATGGTTATTACATATGCACTCTTTTAAACGTATGATTTGCTTCAATTAAAAAAAATTTTTGTAGCAAAACTTATTAAACTCCCATCTAAAGTTCTGAGTGTGAACACTTGCTCTGATCATAATAAAGTATTTAAGCACATATTGGTAAAAACAAAAAAATTTCTGAGTAAAAATCAAGCATTAAGAGTCATTATCAATATTTGCAACTTAGCTGCAAAGTGAGTATTAAACTTCTTCCTTAAAATGTAATCACAGAAGTAAAATGTTTTGTTCCCTACTGTACCCCCCACAATATTTTTCAGCTACTACTGAGGTAATATTTCAAAATGTGAATTGTATCAATAATCTAATACTAGAAGTTACCAGTTGTTGATTGCTTGGGAGACAGCTGTTAAATGTTGGGATACCTACCATCCATATAACTATGCAGCGCAGTTAACATTGTTCCATCTTGGGGCACGTAGGCAGAATAAGCCATTTCTTCTAACATGGGTGGAGACAGCCTGGAGGGTGGGACTGCTGTGACTGGGGCAGAGGAGGAGTGATTAGGACTGACATGTTTCTTGTGGCGTGCTCTACAATTCTGAAACCACACCTGAGAAGGGAGAAAAGCAACGGAAGTAGGTAGATCACACACCAGCTTCCAAGACATTACCAACTCAGTTTAAAAATGAATGTGACCTCAATCACACTACCACACAAGCACAGCATAAATGTAAATAGGCTTTTTTAAAAGTTCTATGTGAAAGAAACATTTTGGTCCAAATAACAATGGTCATTTTTCTTGCTCAGGTGACAGTTCTCTGGTGATTTACTTAAAAGCCAATTCTATTTAAGTGGGAAAGGGGACTGATTGCTTATGGGATTCTGGTCTGTTGAATTTGAGTTGGCCAAATCTTAAGGTTACCCCTTGAATGCAATTATTAACCTCTATTAGATTTGGCTGGGTGCTGTGGCTCATGCCTATAATCCCGGCACTTTGGGAGGCCAAGGCAGGCAGATCACGTGAGGTCAGGAGTTGGATACCAGCCTGGCCAACATGGTGAAACTCTATCTCTACTAAAAATACAAAAGTTATTTTTAGTAGAGATAGGGTTTGGGCATGGTGGCTGTAATCCCAGCTACTCGGGAGGCTGAGGCAGGAGAATCAAGTGAGCCCAGGACGTGGAGGTTTCAGTGAGCCATTTTCATGCCACTGTATTTCAGCCTGGGTGATGAATATTTGTATCTGTTCAAAAATAAAACAAAAGCCAAAACAAAAAAAATACCCAAAAGTTCTATTAATTTTAAAAAATAAAAATAAAAGCCATTTCTATACTAAAAGAGCATCTTCCACAGAAAAGGCAGGGAAAGGCCTCAAGAATTCCAGAGAAATCTCCCTGGTTTTACTACTGGCATTTAGGACAAAAAGAAAAGCAGAAAAATCTCTTTTAATAAGAACTTAAAATAAAAAAAAAAAGACTACTGAATGTATTCTTAGACACCTGCTGGACTTATTTCAAATCCTTGTTCAAACGACTAAAATCCCTACTGAGAAAAACCTTTCTACAAACCTCTTGATTCAGTTATTCCAGTCACATTTTAACCTGCTGAGTTCAATTTCATCTTGGTGAATACATAGGCTATTCTCAAAGAAGCATGTTAAGGTCAGGTCTATAATAGGAAAAAACTCATAATATTTAAGTAGAATTATAGACAAGCACATCCACTGGTGAGAGTTCACAAAATGTAAAGTTCTAACCACCCTGCTGGCCACTCTACTACAGAAATAAAGGAAGCAAATTCGGGGCAAGACATCCAGGTCAGGGCAAGTAAGTCTAGACTGCCCAGAATGCTTCCAGTAACTAATATGCCTGTGTTTGAATTCCCTGCCAGATGACAAAACTTGACCATAGAGTGTTACTTTATTAAAATACTGTATCACTTATTTTCCATCACTCCAAATAATTCTGTCATGAGAAGAAAGAGAGGTGAAGGGATAAAAACTTAGCATGAGAATATTTTGGGGATATAAAACCAGGGAAACACCAGGGGTGTAAGTCTGTTCAAGGCTGGTGATGGGGCCTTGATGGCACAAGGGAATCAGGACTAATTAATGTGGAACAAAAGGAAGCTGCAAAGAATTTATAAGAAAAAGCTGGCCTGACTTCAAAAACACACCCCGCACCTGACACTCAAAAATAGAAGGTTGGCAAAGTGTACTCTCAAGGGTGATTAAAACTAAAAGAAAGAAAATTAATAACTTAGTGGGATACATAGCCTTGAGCAGGTGGCTGTAATGCAGCACCTAAGGAATGTTTCTGGGACAAGACTTAGACATGTATCAAGGAAGATGAGTGGGAAGTCACAGCCTCCCCACATCCCTATTCTCTGGAGTGTTAGAGAGACTCGGAGGCCCCAAAACTCCACAGTTCTGCCCATAGGCTCTGGAACAATAGATGTCACTACTAACACTAGCCTCACCCAAACAAGATGACACTACTCAAACATTCTCCAATGTGTACGGGGGAACTGCTGCCACCTGCCTTTTTCCCTTATGGTACCTAGAAGACACATATGCCAGAGGATTACATAAAACCTAAAACATGTTTCATTATGGTTCCCAGAGTTTCTTCAAAGTATCTTTTTGTCTCCAATAAATTATATATTGAATGGAACCTACGCAGTTGTAAAACAACAGAAACACCATCTTTTGATTCAAAAAAACTCAAACTTTGTAAATAAACATGAAGAAATTATGATATAAACAGCAGTATAACTATCTTAATACTGAACAAGCAGCTTTCTTGGAAAGGTCATCCAGAGGTAATCAAGCAGAGAGAGGTCTGCAAATGCAAGGTGTCATGTAACTGGTAGAGCAAAAGTATAAAAGTTCCAGACATCAGAAAATTGCTTCTGGCATGAATGCTACCCAGCATCAGAATCAAATACAAGTCCTTTTGACTCTCTTCACTGACAAAATTTCCTCCTTCTGCTTTGCAAACCTCCAATAAGAGTTAAAATTTCCCGAGTAACTACTTTAAATTTTTAGAATTCCAAATCATAAACTAAGCTGAAATCAGGCCATGTAGATATACTGGAAAAGCAAAATACTAACACATAGAATAAATCCTTCAGAAAGCCCAGAAAAAAAGCCAAATATAATAATTTTGTATATGACAAAGATGGGATTTTATTTAAAAAGCATGGTTCACTGGTTTAGGGAAAACCAACAGTTTATCATTTGAAAGAGAGGAAAAAAAACAGATAAATTCCTATCTTCCATGGAATCAAGCCAGATAAATTAAAGTTTGGGTGTAAATAATTGAAACAATAAAAGTGTAAGAAAACAAAAGGCAACATTGAAATACTCTATAGATAGGGAAGCATAAGAAAGGCCAAAACTATCAAAAGACTGAGAGATTTAAACACACAGAAACATTAAAGTTCTATAAAGAAAAACTAAAAAGGAAATTGATGAACTGTGAAGTTTAACATGGTATCAAGTAAGATAAAGAGACAATAACCCAACAGAAAAGTGAGTAAAAATATATGGTCTTGGTTGGAGGATCCAAGATGGTCAAATAGGAACAGCTCTAGAGTGCAGTTCCCAGCAAGAACGATGCAGAGGGTGAGTGCCCACCACATTTCCAAACAAATTTTCACTGCCCGCAGACCAGGAGATTCCCCAGCCAAAAAGTGCCAGGAGTTTTCAGCATGGCGATTTCAGATGATGCCGGGTTGGCACACAGAAACTCACACAAATCTGGGCAGCCATTTTAAGTGGTGCCTTGAATGCCTGGAGACAGAGCCGCCCGTTCAACTGAAAGGGAGTGGGCAGAGACAGGGAGCCAGGCAATCTGGCTTAGTGGGTACCACCCCCACAAAATAAGCAATCTGAAACCCTCTGGATTGAGAGTTTCGCAGCAAGCACAGCTGGATCTAGGAGGGTCCCACTCAGTGCGGGGAAGGGCAACCACCACTACCAAGGCAGTCCACCAATAACAAGTCAGTCCACCGATACTGAGGCAGTTCACACAGCAGCTGAGCAGAGCCTGTGGCAGCTCAGCAATGCCTCTGCTGGCAGACTGTGACTAGACTACTCCGTGTGGGGCAGGGCATCTATGAAAAAAGGCAGCAGCATGACAAGAACTTATAAATAAAGCCAACCTTCCTAGGCCAGAGCACCTGGGAAAAGAGGCTGTTATGAGTTCTGCCACAACAGACTTAAAAGTACCTGCCCAGCTGCTCTGCATGGAACAACGGAGCTCTCAGCACAGCACTTGAACTTCTATAAGGGACTGACTGTCTCCTCAAGCAGTCCCCAACCCCCATATGACCAAAGAGACAACTCAGAAAGGAGAGCTCAGGATGACATCTGGCAGGTACCCTTCTGGGATGAAGATAATAGAAGAAGAAACTGGCAGCAACCCATACTGTTCTGCATCCCTCGCGGGTGATCCCCAGGCAATCAGGGTCTGCAGTGGACCTCCGGCAGTACTGCAGCAGAGGGGTCTGACAGTTAGAAGGAAAATGAAAAAAATGGAAAGAAATAACTTCATCATTAACAAAAAGGATGTCAACTAAGAGACCCCATCCAAAAGTCACCAACTACAAAGGCCACAGGTAGATAAAGTCACTAAGATGGGAAGAAACCAGTGCAAAAAGGATGAAAACAACAAAAACCGGAATGCCTCTCCTCCTCCAAAGGATCCCAACTCCTCGCCAGCTAGGGATCAAAGATGGATGGAGAATGAATCTGATAAATTGACAGAAACAGGCTTCAGAATGTGGGTAATAACAAACATCTCAGAGCTAAAAAAACATGTGCTAACGCAAAGCAAAGAAACTAAGAACCTAGGAAAAAGGTTAGATGAGATGCTAACTAGAATAAACAGCTTAGAGAAGAATATAAACTACTTGATGGAGCTGAAAAACACAGCACTGGAACTTTGCAAAGCATACACAAGTTTCAATAGCTGAATCGACCAAGCAGAAGAAAGGATATCAGAGATTGAAGATCAACTTAATGAAATAAAACAAGAAGGCAAGAATAGAGAACAAAGAGTGAAAAATGAACAAAGCCTCCAAGAAATATGGGATTATGTGAAAAGACCTAATCTACATTTGGTAGGTGTAGCTGAATGAGACAGAGAGAATGAATCCAAGCTGGAAAACACTCTTCAGGATATTATCCAGGAAAACTTCCCCAATCTAGCAAGCCAGGCCACCATTCCAGGAAATACAAAGAACACCACAAACATATTCCTCAAGAAGAGCAACCCCAAGGCACATAATCATCAGATTCACCAGGGTTGAAATGAAGGAAAAAATGCTAAGGGCAGCCAGAGAGAAAGGTTGGCTTACCCACAAAGGGAAGCCCATCAGACTCACAGTGGATATCTCTGCAGAAACCCTACAAGCCAGAAGAGAGTGGGGGCCAATATTCAACATCCTTAAAGAAAAGAACTTTCAACCCAGAATTTCATATCCAGCCAAACTAAGCTTCATAAGTGAAGGAGAAAGAAAATCCTTTATGGACAAGCAATTGCTGAGAGATTTCACCACCACCAGGCCTGCCTTACAAGAGCTCCTGAAAGAAGCACTAAGCAAAGA